TGTTGGTCATTGTAGCAGTGGTGCGCATTAGTCGGTTTGTTGGACTCTTGCGTTTGGGTGGTACAGGAGGCACACTTGGTTTGCTGGGTGTATCCATCTTTCAATTCACCACACTGTACAACTGATGATATCGGTCACAGATTTTCAAGGTGTGATTAGATCCATGCAGAAATTAAGTATTACCAACATTATTTTAGTTATTTAACTATCATCTGCAAACTCTGTCAAACAGCAGATGATACAAATATGTTATCTTACCGAGTGCCGACACTGAAACAAGTGAAAGCTATGATACTACGGTACTTGCGTATAAAAATTGCTTTGTCATTTTCGTCCAAACTTCCAAGGTATCTTGTTCAGCAAAACGACCGATTTCACTTCGTAGATCATCCGACAGTAAAGTGAATACTAGCAAAATAAATTCTGCATATATGCTCTAAAATCGAAAAAAAAATCAATCATACTTTTTCGTTTTGAAAAAGTTCAAGCTACGTCATTGAGAGGAGTTTCAGGCGTTGCATGATCAAAACGTGTTGTCACTCAAAAAGCAAAATTTATTTTGAACAGTTAAGTTCTATCAAATGTATATTTTTCTGTCCCAGCCCATCACATAATAAAACAAGAGAGCTATTCTCAAATATATGGACACGTAGCGCCACCCAGTGGCAATAATTTTGATGACGTCATAGCGAGAGAAAAAAGTAATAGCCTTCTGGAGAAAATTTTTATCTTTAACCACTGAAAATATCAAAGCAATTGGTCCAGTATTCCACCACCTAGTGCCACCCAGTGGCAATAATTTTGATGACGTCATAGCGAGAAAAAAAGTAATAGCCTTCTGGAGAAAAATTTTATCTTTAACCACTGAAAATATCAAAGCAATTGGTCGAGTATTCGAAGAGAAAAGCGAATTTTCAAAAATGGAGACGGAGACAAATAATAACAATAACAACAAAATTTTGAAACGATCGTTATGGCCACTAAACGTGTCCAAATATCCCTGTCCTATACCATCTATCTCATGGGATTCCCATTGAAATACAATTTAATAAAAAATAGTTAAATTCGGGTTCAACGTCCACTATATAACAGGACTTTCTTAATTTGAAAAATTGCAAACTATTATATAACTAACAAAAAAGCTATGCCCGAATATATTGACACGAAATCCATAACAAAATGTTTTACCATCAATACCCTGAAAATCGTGCGGTTTCCTGAACGAACCTGAACAGCCACGGTAACTTACCGGTACCTGTCTCAGGGCACCAGTAACGATACGCGGCATGTATCAGCTTTGTCCTGTGAAGATGATCCATCTATGCTACATGATTCAGTTTTCAAAAAGGAGTTCCCGTGGGTAAAAAATAATGCAGAGAAATTTTGCATAAAATATCACATCTCAAAGAATTCATAGAAAATTAGGAATAAATGAAAGCAATAGCTATTTTTGACATATGTAGAAGGAATGTCAGATATCATGCCTAATTGGATTAGGTGTCGCCCGAGTGAAATATCAGATCTAATGGGATTCATAGAAAATTTCGTGTCCAACGTGTCCCGTGGGAGATTCAAATGTGTGTTGTCCCCTCCCATCCCATGGGCAGTTTCCATATTTTTCCATTTTGTATCTTTATTATTTATTTCAAAACTTATTACTATCTGGACTGAACAAACTTGTGCATCAAAACAATTCCAAAAAGCTGTAAAAACGAAACTTATAATAATATAGAAACAGTTAGATTGAATGTTGTAAATGATAAAACTTATATGCTTGACGGGAATTCCACATGGAAATTGAAATCGTCAAGACGAAAAGGTTTATAATCTGGGCATGTCGTTCCATGTCTTATTATAATGAAATCTTCTGTTTGGCACGTCTTGTATTCACTGCTGAATAATGTATTGTTCCGAGCGACTAAAACACATGACACGGCCTTTTTATAAATAACTGCTTGAATACAATTTAGCTCTCACGACATTGAATACCGAGGTATAGTGTTGGTACCATCAATCATCAAACAAGAAGATCTTCCCACACGTATAATTAGGTCAAAATGTACATTTCAAACTGTGATTTCCAAAATATGAAATGCTTTTAAATTATTATCATTGATATATTTTTAAATAGTGAACTTTTATTGAACCTTCCTTACTCAACTATATCAAGAAATATGTTTCTAATAAAGTTTGGCAAAGTCGATTTTATTCCCTTGAGACGATGAAACCTATAAATTAGCTCAATCTAATGAAATAGAGTCAAGTTTCATTTTTATCATGTCATAATGACTCTTCTCGCACCTAAAGTGTAACATTCCAACGCAGTTCAATTTAAAAAAAATGGTTTCCCTATCAATCACAAAACAATAAAAGGTCCGATTAACAACACGCTACCAAATATCTAAATACCAGATTAATGGTCTTGTTTCTGATTTCCAGTATAGTATTTATTTTTCATTCGCTCTTTTCGGTCCAAACAAGGCCATATACAAGAATCCATTGAGGTCTTTTGATATCCGGAAAGGAGGTCAATGGGATTTGAAAATAGATATTGATATCTGTTTACCTATAACACTCAATCTGAGCAAGTCACGGAACGTGCTCCCGAGCAGACAGGTTAAACATGCGACAAATTCCGCAAATTTAAATTTTGCCCCCTGGCGTTAAAATCGAAACGAAAATGATAAACAAAATGGCGAACGAACTAAAATGCTAGGTTAGCTATTGTTAATTCTCGAATTTGAGATGGCGTTCCTCCAAATCTTACTGACTTCACACTGTTCCCTATTAATGGAGTTATGTTTACCATCTTTGTGTGATAAAATTATTTTTATAAATTGTTTCAAACTTTCCCTAGAAAAAATGTTTTATACAGGCATCAACTGATGTCCTATGTTTACTATATAGTCCCGCATTGCCTACCAAATCAATAACCCGGTGGCAAGTTCAATTTTATATACTGAATTTTTTTCAAGAGAATGAGAGTTTATTACAAAAATGATGAAAATCGCAATTTATACGCACGTCTGAAAAATCTTTGAAAATCTGAACCTCGTGGTTACTACGTGCTATGGAAATTGAAATAATCTAACTTTGCTGGAACACTTAACTAAAAGCTTACAAGGTCGCACCGTGGTTGGTCGGATTTTGCGAATATTTGTTTATATACAATTTCCCCCGGTCGACCTATAAATTACTGCTTGTATTATGTCATGTTCATAGTTAAGTTTTTTTCCTATACTATGGCAGTGTTTTCAATCTATGGATCGCGACCCGATATTGGGTCGCCCAAACAATTTCTTGGTTCGCTTGTTTTTCAACAAAAACCTTAAAGTTACTGCTTTTATTTTCTGGTAAATTTTATTGTTTATTACATGTTTGTATTGCAGTATGGTGACCGTACATTTGAACCCACTTACATTTGAACCCATGTGTGTATCCGCGGGTTCAATCTATATGCGGGTGCTAAAACCCATGGGTTAGGGTGAGTATGGGTTAAAATATCCGTAAAACTAAAATAAATTCCATAGGTGCAATAGTATGCAGGTGCAATTGTCATGGGTTCAAATGTAATAAAACCTAGTAGTATATGAGGAAAGTATCACATCGTAAAAACTGGGGATCTGCTGTCAGATACTTTTGTGACCGTTTGAGGCATATCGTTGCTACCGCCTAGTAATTGGACAATGGGTCACGTGATTTTTCAAAAAATTTGGGCCGCCTTAAAAAAGTTGGGAACCACAGCTATGAAGACCACGTTCGTGTGGCTAAATAATCCCTGCTACATAACCACAATTAAAGAACGCATCGAATACAGCGGTATATGGTATCAGCCATATAATATCGCATAGTATTGCTGCCCGGTAATAATTTTTATAGCATACAAGAAAATATGTTTTTATTTATCAAGCTCCTATTATAGAGAGATTGTGAGTAATGAACCTCACATACTCAGTTCGTTCAAATGTTCAATTTACGCCATTTCGACGACATTTTGTCCGTCCGCCATTTCAGTTCGGGATTCTTGTAAATCTTAATCAACGTGAAGCGGTACACCGCCTCCATTACTTTTTTTTTTAATTTAAAGAATAGTTAATGCATAAATATACTTCGAAAATGTGTGTTAGAATTAAATATTAATGGCCTTCATGGAAATCAATATTATTCGTCCTCGATTTTGGGGAAGATATTCCGGTGATTTCAGATTGTGTACACAGAGTTCCGAGTTCGTGTAATACAAAGTCGATTTTCCGCTTTCCTTTCTTCATAGCTGGATGGCTAGGTTGTAATGGATTTTTTAAGAAAATGACTGAGGTTCGGAAATAACTGGAAAATGGCGTAATACCCACTATTTTTTTTACATCGTTCTAATAGAAAGTTTTAAACAATAATAAGCCTGAATCCGCATCCCTTCACATAAAGTTGCATGGAGTATCATATAAATACTTACGTAACCTGTTATCTATAGCATCGTCACGATACGATTATAAATTTTTGTTGAATGTTTATTGTTCGACAAGCGTTATCAGATAAACTAAGCTAAACATGTAGATTGTCATATTTATTATATTTAACGCTGATTGAATTTGGCTCGATAAAAACCAAAAGATTGCATTTCTTTTTCAAAAATGAAGTATTTATATAAATATCGAGTCCCCTCATATAGAGCCTTATTCACAGCAAAAATGTGAAAAAAAGCATTCCTTTAGACCCGATGATCTGCAATGGAACATACCGATAACTCCAATTGATCCAATACTTTGAACGTGTAGACAAAAATTATCAGGGCTATGTTAAATTTATCTAATCTGTCCCGAGATTGTGCCTGGCCCAGACTCAATTTAACAGGCTTTAAGACAGATTACCTACTAAACTCACTGAAGACTTTTCACATTGGTCGAACATTGTAATGTCAAGTCAGGATAACACTAGCGATATTAAATTCAACCTTTAACTAACAACCTGATAAAAACAACATCTGACTACGAATAAACACAAAATTATAGTTGCATCAATCATATATTTGCGTGGTATAATCACACAGGAAAGTTTCAGCAATACTAGAATTACTGTATTTCAGCTCATTTTGCATCGGTATTTGCATTCGTGAAATACAAAAATTGAGATATAAATGATTCTGTCGTAATAGTCACATGAAATGAGCTGAAAAAAGTAATATTTGGAAAGGACATTTTGGAAATACGAAGTTGCAAATCCGGTTACAATTTTTTAATCCTAATTTTGGTCGAATTTTGCTAAGCAGAATAATAAGCACCATGATGCAAGTTGTCATTGGATTGAGAAACAAATTTCCCTGAAGTTTTAAATTTCGTTATAATTTGATTAGTCGAATCTGAATTATCGTAAAATCAATGGATTCAATAACACGACATATTTGGTCGATAACTAAACAGCTTTTAAATTACTATTCGCCTCATAATTTATAATTTGGAGAGGAATGAAATATTTTATATGAAATTTTCTTTCAACTTAGATTACAAATACGAGTGTTTTTCGCCGCCTATGCAGTCATAAATGAAATAATAAAGGTGAGGGGGTCGATTTTAAACACAATCTCCTGCTTTATATTTCAAGGGCTTAGAAATATCACGAATTCAAGTAAATGTAGGCTATATTTTGGAACATTACATATCGAACTAAATAAATGTAGTCTCAAAATGAGAGTCATGAATTTATATTATCGAGGAATAAAAAGAATTGAATCTTAGGAAAACATGCTTATGATTTCGGCTTCATTACATTTCTATAGTTCATCTTCAAATGATTCCCATTTGTTTCGCCTATTTTGGCTGATATTAGGTATTTCCATTGCAATCGAATTTGCTGTTGCAGTCGCCGTATATGCAGTCGAATCTGATTTATGAAGCATATAATAGGAAACAACTCTTTGACGGGGAGCATTGGGATGTGAGGCCAAGAAACTGTTGACTGTGCCGATGACTAATGGAACGTCTGGCACGGCTAATGAAGCGATCTGGCTGTCAACAAACTCTTTAGCACTGGCGGGTTGTTCTGCTTCCACAAAGCTGAAGGCTCCAGATCGAGTGGTTGACACGAATGCTTCTGCATCTGGAAAAAAACATAAATAGATTTGTGAAATTGAAACATAATATAAATTGAGCAATGTTTTTAATACGTGTAAAATACAAACATTTTGCGCTCAAAATTCCTCCTCCCAAAATTAGAGGAAATGCGATATCACTCGAAAAAGTAAAAAAAAATAATAGCACCATAGACGATGGGAGGCAATAAAGATATGCTGTGACTAGGGCGGGGCATTTTCGAATACCCTGTGATTTCAGAATCGAATCGAATAATTTTTTCGAATCGAATCGAATCTCGAATACCTGAAAATGTATAATTGTAAGCGACTTTATTATAGTAATTGGTCCTCTCAACAAATGAATTACTGAAGACATAGACTAAATCACTTAGATAGATTACTGAGCGTTCACACAGAATAACTCACTACAGGAAATAGTCATATGTTAGAATTTCGTTGAAAAAATTTGACTCCAATGAAAAAAAACTTGGGGAATTCACCTCGACTATTAGCGGAAAGATAAAAACAAGATGGCGGCGATTCGAAGTTTAGCTCTAAACCAATTCGAATAATTTACTATACGATTCCATTCGAATATTCGATTCGAAATGCCCAGCCCTAGCTATGACATTTGTTAGGTCCTTCATTGAAAGCATAAATAGTCCATTATCACGTTATAATAGGTCTTCCAAGGTTATGTAAAAACACTTCAAGAAACTCTGGTCTGTATGGCACCAGAAATTCCGACGACATACTCTAGTCGCAGTAATGGTCTAAATACTGATAAATAAAACATTTTTGATTAACCATCATTCCGTTTTTTCCGAAATGAGAATCTTCCGAAATATTGAAAAATATAATAATTCTTGAAATTTATGATACTCCGGTAGTATTTGTACCAGGTTAGGGTTACGCCATAATTTTATTCCGATTTTCCTTATATTAGTTCTATCATGAGTTCGGGGACTGTTTGTGCTAGCCAAGTGAATATACCCTTTGCCCATAGTAGTTCAAATTTGAATGTCGAGGTCTGTATGCTCCAGCCTACTGTACTTAATAGTAAATCCGGCCGTGTGACCATGTTAGGATCTGTAGCAAATAGTTTTTGTTTGGATATTTGGGTTTTCAACAGCGAATTAGTATTTTAATATACCCCCAATCTGTTCCTTCAGATATTCTTATGTGCTTCATTTCACGAAAATAAATTTGATTTTCAATATTATTATCAAATTTAAATCTTCTATATTTATATTCTTTTCAGTGGTTTATCATTGCTTCTTTTCGATATTTCATCAACATAAAATCATTTAAAATCTGAAAATAATAATATAACAGCTTACCAAATGCCGACACCGAAACAAATAGAAGAGATGATAGCACAGCACATGCGTAAAGAAATTGCTTTGCCATTTTCGTCCAAATTTCCAAGATATTTTGTTCAGCAAGACAATCGATGGTACTTCGAAGATTTTCCAACAGTAAAGTGAAGATGAGACAAATGGATGCTGTATTTATGCTCTCAAATCGATGAACAAAATTACCCGAATTTTTTTCTTTTTGAAAAATTTCCACGAAAAGCCCATGCTCCGTCACTGGCAGTTCCACGCGATTTCCGCATGATCAAATCGTGTCGTCGGCCAAAACGTAAAAGGTTTTTAGCAGTTATATCAATCGCTTCCAAATCGAAATTTGTACTAATCTTTCCCGCCAAAATTGTCGTTCCTTGAAGATCGATATTAAAATCCGAATACATTTAAGGAATACGGAAAGCATCCAAGATCAAGAGCGTAGCAAACCCAAAATAATTCGGGGGTTGGAAATTTTTTTTTATATGACATAATACGACCGTTATTCGTGCTTTTGCTCCGAACAAGGCTAGAAGACCACTGATTTCACACAATATTTTAAAAAATCTCTCTGCAGACATGCATCGCTGTCGAAGTTAGCCAAGGTATATAATTCGCGCATTGTCATCTATATCGGTTGGTTCATTTGGCGAAAGGCTTATTGATGGGAATCCAGGAATTTTCAGTGAATCGTTCAAGAATAGAGTAAAATGGCGTTGGAAAAGCCGAATGTTGATTTTTTTTTTTGGGGGGGGGGGGTATTCTCAATCAGTGACATCACTTTTATCTACAGCTTTTTTGCGCATTTTAAATTTATCATGAAAAAAATGGCGTGGCAAGAATATTGAATTTGTTTATTTTCCTTAAACCACAATGAAGTGCAAATCGACAGTACGAACGCCTGTCAGATTTTAATCATTTTCGTAACATGGTTTTGGTAATTGAATTTAGGTTCACAGAGTTAATATCGCGGGTATGTGATTGGCTGAATATCGAAAGGCGTAAAACAGGTCGACATAGGATGGTGCTACCAAGTGTAAGGCCTACCGCTGGATTTTCCATGTCCAAAGGATATCGCTCATTTCTATACATTCATTTGAGCGATAAATTCAAGAGCTGTAATTTTTTCCTATATTAAGGCAGATCCTTATTGTCCACAGTAGACCATCAGGAAATCCGCGCACTTGACCTGAACTGAAAGTAAAAAAGTTATACTGAATTGATGCGCCGCCGAGCAATAGTATTAACGATTCCAGTGTTGGAGGTTTCAATTAGACAATTTGATGAATGCAATACGTAAATTCATATCGTCACTACAAATAAAAGTCTTAACAGACATGCCGGTTTTAGTAAAATCAAGTAATGAATAAAATCTCTTGGCATAATGTACAATTAATACCTGTTCCATTTTGTCCCTATAACATTTTATTTGGTACAATTATACTCATCTGATGCAATGATACAAAGTTGGTCTCAAGCATAGAAATATCGGCAGTGAAAAAGCCTTGTAAACGGAAATTCGATATTCGATTTGTTAGGACATCATTTGAATATTTTTTTTTTCTCGACGTTGAATAACAAACAATAACGTTTACCTCCGTGCTTTGACGTAATTGTTCAACTTGATTGAATAACAAGTAATATCGTGCAAGCTGGTGCTAGGTATAATGAATCAGACAATCTGCATGTTTCAGATGAGTTTATGCGATAACATTCAATTTGAACAATAAACATTCAGCAAAAATTAATAATCGTATCGTGATGTATATACAAATAATTCGGCAAAAGTTGTTGAATCGTTAGATAACAGGTTATGTCGGTGTTTTTTTAAATGCCAACTCAATATTTGGCACGGTCGGAGATGAATCCACACTGTTTAAAAATATTACGACAATACAAGTTTACTTCATTTTTTACTATTTTGTATTTTCAATATTCATCCTAAAACTCATTGCGATCTGGACTGAACAAACTTGTACATTGGAACAATTCCAGAAAGCAGTAAAAACGAAGATCAAGAATAGAGTAAAATGGCGTTGGAAAAGCCCTAAAAATTTATGTCTCATTGCAAATGCGCAAAATTGCATCTAAAAAAATCTTGATTTTTTTTAGGGGAGGGGGGGGGGGTATTCTCAATCAGTGACATCACTTTTATCTACAGCTTTTTTGCACATTTCAAATTCATCATGAGAAAAATAGCGTGACAAGAATATTGAATTTGTTTATTTCCCCAAAGCACAAAGAAGTGCAAAGCGACAGTACGAACGCCTGTCGGATTTTAATCATTTTGGTAACATGGTTTTAGTAATTACATTTAGGTTCACAGAGTTAATATCGCGGGTATGTAATTGGCTGAATATCGAAAGGCGTAAAACAGGTCGACATAGGATGGTGCTACCAAGTGTAAGGTCTACCGCTGGATTTTCCATGTCCAAAGGATATCGCTCATTTCTATACATTCATTTGAGCGATAAATTCAAGAGCTGTAATTTTTTCCTATATTAAGGCAGATCCTTATTGTCCACAGTAGACCATCAGGAAATCCGCGCACTTGACCTGAACTGAAAGTAAAAAAGTTATACTGAATTGATGCGCCGCCGAGCAATAGTATTAACGATTCCAGTGTTGGAGGTTTCAATTAGACAATTTGATGAATGCAACACGTAAATTCATATCGTCACTACAAATAAAAGTCTTAACAGACATGCCGGTTTTAGTAAAATCAAGTAATGAATAAAATCTCTTGGCATAATGTACAATTAATACCTGTTCCATTTTGTCCCTATAACATTTTATTTGGTACAATTATACTCATCTGATGCAATGATACAAAGTTGGTCTCAAGCATAGAAATATCGGCAGTGAAAAAGCCTTGTAAACGGAAATTCGATATTCGATTTGTTAGGACATCATTTGAATATTTTTTTTTTCTCGACGTTGAATAACAAACAATAACGTTTACCTCCGTGCTTTGACGTAATTGTTCAACTTGATTGAATAACAAGTAATATCGTGCAAGCTGGTGCTAGGTATAATGAATCAGACAATCTGCATGTTTCAGATGAGTTTATGCGGTAACATTCAATTTGAACAATAAACATTCAGCAAAAATTAATAATCGTATCGTGATGTATATACAAATAATTCGGCAAAAGTTTTAGAATCGTTAGATAACAGGTTATGTCGGTGTTTTTTAAATGCCAACTCAATATTTGGCACGGTCGGAGATGAATCCACACTGTTTAAAAATATTACGACAATACAAGTTTACTTCATTTTTTACTATTTTGTATTTTTAATATTCATCCTAAAACTCATTGTGATCTGGACTGAACAAACTTGTACATCGGAACAATTCCAGAAAGCAGTAAAAAACGAAGATCAAGAATAGAGTAAAATGGCGTTGGAAAAGCCCTAAAAATTTATTGCAAATGCGCAAAATTGCATCTAAAAAATTTTTGATTTTTTTATGGGGGGGGGGGTTATTCTCAATCAGTGACATCACTTTTATCTACAGCTTTTTTGCACATTTCAAATTCATCATGAGAAAAATAGCGTGACAAGAATATTGAATTTGTTTATTTCCCCAATGCACAATGAAGTGCAAAGCGACAGTACGAACGCCTGTCGGATTTTAATCATTTTGGTAACATGGTTTTAGTAATTACATTTAGGTTCACAGAGTTAATATCGCGGGTATGTGATTGGCTGAATATCGAAAGGCGTAAAACAGGTCGACATAGGATGGTGCTACCAAGTGTAAGGTCTACCGCTGGATTTTCCATGTCCAAAGGATATCGCTCATTTCTATACATTCATTTGAGCGATAAATTCAAGAGCTGTAATTTTTTCCTATATTAAGGCAGATCCTTATTGTCCACAGTTGACCATCAGGCAATCCGCGCACTTGACCTGAACTGAAAGTAAAAAAGTTATACTGAATTGATGCGCCGCCGAGCAATAGTATTAACGATTCCAGTGTTGGAGGTTTCAATTAGACAATTTGATGAATGCAACACGTAAATTCATATCGTCACTACAAATAAAAGTCTTAACAGACATGCCGGTTTTAGTAACATTAAGTAATGAATAAAATCTCTTGGCATAATGTACAATTAATACCTGTTCCATTTTGTCCCTCTAACATTTTATTTGGTACAATTATACTCATCTGATGCAATGATACAAAGTTGGTCTCAAGCATAGAAATATCGGCAGTGAAAAAGCCTTGTAAACGGAAATTCGATATTCGATTTGTTAGGACATCATTTGAATATTTTTTTTTTCTCGACGTTGAATAACAAACAATAACGTTTACCTCCGTGCTTTGACGTAATTGTTCAACTTGATTGAATAACAAGTAATATCGTGCAAGCTGGTGCTAGATATAATGAATCAGACAATCTGCATGTTTCAGATGAGTTTATGCGATAACATTCAATTTGAACAATAAACATTCAGCAAAAATTAAAAATCGTATCGTGATGTATATACAAATAATTCGGCAAAAGTTTTTGAATCGTTAGATAACAGGTGATGTCGGTGTTTTTTAAATGCCAACTCAATATTTAGCACGGTTGGAGATGAATCCACACTGTTTAAAAATATTACGACAATACAAGTTTACTTCATTTTTTACTATTTTGTATTTTTAATATTCATCCTAAAACTCATTGCGATCTGGACTGAACAAACTTGTACATCGGAACAATTCCAGAAAGCAGTAAAAACGAAGATCAAGAATAGAGTAAAATGGCGTTGGAAAAGCCCTAAGAATTTATGTCTCATTGCAAATGCGAAAAATTGCATCTAAAAAAATTTTGATTTTTTTTAGGGGGGGGGGTATTCTCAATCAGTGACATCACTTTTATCTACAGCTTTTTTGCACATTTCAAATTCATCATGAGAAAAATAGCGTGACAAGAATATTGAATTTGTTTATTTCCCCAAAGCACAATGAAGTGCAAAGCGACAGTACGAACGCCTGTCGGATTTTAATCATTTTGTTAACATGGTTTTAGTAATTACATTTAGGTTCACAGAGTTAATATCGCGGGTATGTGATTGGCTGAATATCGAAAGGCGTAAAACAGGTCGACATAGGATGGTGCTACCAAGTGTAAGGTCTACCGCTGGATTTTCCATGTCCAAAGGATATCGCTCATTTCTATACATTCATTTGAGCGATAAATTCAAGAGCTGTAATTTTTTCCTATAT